AAAACAGCGCTCTACCTCTTGTGGTCTGCCCTCCCCCGAAATCCACAGTCTCAGTCCAGCCATGAGAACAACATCAGATAAATCTCGGTTGAGGGACATTCTTCAAAACAGTAGACCAGTCCTGATTAGTAGTGACCAGTACTCCTCAAAACTGTCAAGGTCATCAAAAACTAGAAAAATCTGAAAAATTATCACTGCCCAAAGCCCCCAAAGGATACATGATAACCAAATGAAATGTGATATACTGGGTGGGGTTCTGGAAAACAGAAGAGACTTTAGGTAAAAAGGAAGGAAATCTGAATAAAGTATGAATGCAATTTAATAACAGTGTATCAACAGTGGAACAAATGTACCATACTAATGCAACATGCTAATAACAGGGGAAACTGGGTGCAGAGTATATGGGAAGGACAGAGTATATGAGGACTCTTTGTACTATATTCTAAATTTTTCTGTAAACTCAAAATTGTTCTAAGCAACAAAGTCTATATTTAAAATTAAATAAAAACAACAACATAAACTCTGGAATCTGACCATCTGGTTAGAATCCTAGTCTGCAACTTATTAGACTATGATGTGAGGTACATGCAGAGTCATTTCAGTCATGAATCTTCCAAACCCAGAAATTGAACTCGCGTCGCTTCCATCTTCCGCATTGGCAGGAGGGTTCTTTACCACTAGCGCCACCTGGGAAATCCCTGATTTTGAGGTAAATTACTTAAATTCTCTGAGTCAGTTTTCCTATCTATAAAATGGAAATAGGATGAGTACCTGTGTCCTCAGAGCTTTTGTGATAAATAATGAAATAATCAGGTAAAGTGCTTAGCACAGAGTCTCTGGCAAATAGTAAGCACTCAATAGGGGTTTCCCAGGTGGTGCAGAGGAAAAGAATTCCCGAGTCAAGAAGATCCTCTAGAGGAGGAAATGGCAACCCACTCCTACTGTTCTTGCCTGGAAAAATCCCATGGACAGAGGAGCCTGGCAGGCTAGAGTCCACGGGGTCGCAAAGAGTCCAACATGACTGAGTCATTGAGTATGCATAGACAAGCACTCAATAGATGGTGGCAACTATCAGTATCATTATTATTGCTTTAAATCTTTACTAAATATTCAAACGCACATTTAATGTGATTTTACATTTAATTTCTTTTAAGCAGATTCATAATACTTTCTATGGGAATTTTCTTTCCTTTTTTGAGAGGAAGAAAGTTGAATATAATCTATCACATAGTATCTGTAAGAAGGGTTTCTCTCATTGTACCATAAATGTTGAGAGGTTTTACAAAGTAAGCTGCTCCAAGCAACTTAAACACTAGTTCCATGTAATGTAATGAAATCAGTTGTCACCAGAGGCTCTGCATATATGTTATTGTGTCTTTGAGGTAGTATAAGATAAATGGCATTTTTTTTTTTGCATTTTCTAAATTGGGTTCCTACTTTCATTACAAAGCCATAAACTCATCAACATCAACCAGAGAATAAATAATCTTGTGATTACACTATTTTAATAACAATGAAGTAAAAGTGATTTGAAGATTAATGTGTAGGATATGTTTAAAAATGGAAAGAATTAAGTGGAGTAGTGAAAGACTACAGTAAAATAACTGCTACATTAAGATACTATTAAAGAAGAGAATTTGGCCTGAGCAAATGACTCCCAAACCAGACTGTGCATCAGATTGACCCTGGGGCTTGGTAGAAAACAGAAAGAAGCTGGACCTATGCAGGGGTGGAACCTGGGCATCTGCAGCTTTAAAAGACTTTTCAGGTATTCCCATTTGTCAATGTCCAGTCTAGCTTATCAGTATACACTGATCATATCATATAGGCCACCATAAGATCTGCCTCTGTCAGAACTGCCTTTGTAAACACAGCTTGATATTCACCATCATCAACAAACATGATCAGTTCAAGTGAGAACCAACACTTAGTTCAGTTAATCTTCCCTTTTGCTTTTCTCTTTTGCCTATCACTATTACAGTTGTTTTCTATATGGAATTTTGGACCCTCTGCATCCTCAGGCTTTCAGCTGCCCTGAGCATAAAAGAAACTGTCTCCTCAGCGCTTCCCTGGAGGCTCGGTGGTAGAGAACCTGCCTGTCAATGCAGGAGACACAGGTTCAATCCCTCATCCAGGAAGACCCACATACCGCGGAGCAGCTAAGCCCATGTACCACAAGTACTGAGCCTGTGCTCAAGAGCATGGGAGCCACAACTACCGAGCCGTGCGGCGGCTACTGAAGCCTACGCCCCCTGGAGCCTGTGATCTGCAACAAAAGAAGCCAGGACACCACAACTAGACAGCAGCCCCCACTTGCCACAACTCGAGAAAAGCCTGTGCAGCAACGAAGATTCAGCACAGCCAAAAATAAATAAATAAAATTATATATATAAAAGAAACTATCTCCTCAATTCAGTCCTCCAACATTCTCCCCTCTGCCCTCTAAAGTCAAGTTTCCCCTCCCTGCACCTCGTTCCTTCCTTCTTATTTTCACTGTGCCAATGGGGAAACTTGGCCTATTTAACACAGGCAGTTGCCTTCAACCGCCAGGAACCAACCCAGCCTTCCTTTTCTGCTGAGCCAACAATTCATGAAGTAGGTGGTCCATGCCTGGTCTCAGGTCAGAGTATGGTCCAGGCAGTCAGGGGCACAGCACAATGAATTATAGCTAGAGGATGAAGGAGTAAACGGTTTACAGTCTTCCCCTATGAGAGAACAAATTTACAAAGGAACAATGGTCAGGCTACCTATAAAACACAACGCTGACCCACAACGGGCATCAGCTAGCCCAGGAAGCCAATGTTCTATCTAGAGTAACCTGTCTGGGAGGTCAAACTACTATCGGTAGCAACTAGTCCAGGAAACCAAACAATAACCCTTACAGTGATTGGCCCCAAATGGCCAGGGCTTCATTAACAGCTGACAGCTTTCCTAATTTTTGCCCCTGATTCCAACTTACAGTCAGCTGGAGAAAACCAAATACTTACCCCATCACACATAACGTCCCATTCTAGTGGCCTGTGTCCAGCTTCCCCATGCCAACAGCCTCCAGTCAGGGCATACCTGAAGACTTCTCTTTTTGAGCTAGTTTTTCCACTTCTCTGCTTGCCTTTGCCTCTCGGTCAAATGCAAGCGATGGAGACTGACTCCCTTGCTTTGAATAAATAGCCTTTGCTTGTTCTCATTTGGGTGGTCTTCGTTTATTTCCACTACTAGGAAAATAGGGCTATGTGTTTGAAATGGCTCACTGAATGGTTCTTTCACGACAGAAGTAGCTGTACTTTAGGGAGGTTGTGAGATGCAGCTGAAAGAACACAGTAATATTTGTGACCCTGAGGAATTCAGAGAGGGAAGTTGTAGGTTATCAGACGCCAAGGTCTACATGTCTTTTTTCTTTTTGATTTCAAGTAGACCTTATTGTTTAGAACAGTTTTAAATTTACAGAAAAGTTCAGAAGAGACTATAAAGAGTCCTCATACACTTTATCCTTTCTGTATACCCTGCTTCAAATTCTTGCTTTGCACTTTCCGGCTTCGGACTTCTTACTTTGTTGGCTTGGACTAGTTACTTAACCAACTTGCACCAGCTTCCTCAGTTGTTCAAACACTGATGATGAGCGCACCTGCCTGACAGCGATATTGGAAGAGTCTATGAGACAACCCAGATAATGAATGAATATCTGAATTTCATGGGAAGGGAGGGAAAGAGAGAGGAGAATGGGAGAGACAAGATTCAGCAACATTGAGCTGAACTTCCTGAAAAGGAGCAGCGGCCTAGGGCTGAGTACTAACTGCCCCTTTTAGATGAGACATGTTCTTCCCTTTTCATAGTCTATACCAACCCACTTCCCTCGTTTATGATACCTGCTCAGCCCTAACATTCTTTAACCATGGACTGAACTAAAGACATTTTCCTCTTCCAAATTTGGTAACTCTAGGAAACCAAGGGATGCAAAAACTGCCGTGCCATCATCCATTTCAAAAAGATATGGTGTGAGAGGGATCTTAACTCTCAAATGCATATTGGAAATGTCCATGGTCTCGAGAAATCAGAGTTTTTTCACTTTTTACTGCAGGGCTGTAATATAAAATTATAGAGCTTATAAACCTAGAAAATCTTTATACAACTAGAAACTCAATAATGTCACATTTCATAAAGTGCGACCATATTATTCATCAACAACAAATTAAACATTTTTCCTCTTGTTTTCTGCTATTTTGGGTAAGAATAATAGCTATTTCAGAGAATTAAGGCTATACTCTTTTGACATATTTGTGTTTATTTTCAACTAACATTAAATGTGACATCATCAATATCAAATCGAACCATAAACGCAGATATTTACAGATTTTTGTCTAAATTATTTCTGTTATCACACTCAACACTTTCGACAGGCCATTGCTTAACTTTCCAAAGTCTGCATAAAATGGAGTCTTGGAGGCAACATGCTAAATTCAAGAGCCACTCTCTAACCTAAACCTTCATTCCTTCCACCAGATTGGGTAAATAAGCAAGATATATTTAATTAAGAACGCTGGAAGGCACGTTAATTACAAATAATTTTTTAATCTAGCTTTTCACCTGAAATGTAATTAAGGGGAGTGCATTGAAAACAACACTTGATAAATATTTTACAGGTATAAACATATCTTCATACGAAAATTATACTCTGAGGGTCACTTCACAATGACAAGAGACATTTCACAGGCGTTTCTTTTTTAAAATATTCCGAACCAGGCAAGGCAGGAATCCTGGCGCAACGTCAGATGGTCTCACGCGGGGGGCCGGTTTCCCCCACGGGCTCCGCCGCCTTAATGGAGCTCTGGGGTGGGTCTCGGGAGTATCTGCGTCCCTCCCGGGGCGAATGAGGAAAGGGCAAGTCCGCAACAGGGAGCCTGGGCGGCCTCGCGGGCCCGCCGCCGCCGCCGGGGCCCGCCGCTGCGCGGGCCGCCCGTCTGAGCGGGCGCGCGCGCCGCCGCCCCGCCGCCCGCCGCACTCACCGAGGCCGCGCCAGCCGAGCGCGCCGTCGCAGCTGTCCAGGACCGCGCAGAGCTCGCCCAGCAGCGCGGGCGGCAGGTCGAAGAGGAGCGTGTGCGACGAGAGCGCCCTGCGGGCCCCACCGCTCCCCGCCGCCCAGGCCATGGCTGCGCCGCGGGGGACCCGGGACCGCGCCCGGGAGGGATGCGGAGCCCAGGGCTCTCCGCGGCCGCGCGGTGCCGTTACTCAACCGCGGAAATCCTGCTACCACGGCGACGGCCAAGGAGGCCGCCCGCCCGGAGCCCGGGCCGCGCCGAGGGCGGGCCCCCCGTGACGCACGGCGCGGCTCCCCGGAGAGGCCCCAGCGGCCGCCGGGTCTGCTGCGCCGCGGCTCACCGGGTCCCGGCTTCGCCCTGGCTGGTTGGATTTCTGTTCCTCCGGCTTTGAGACGAGACAGAAGAGGCCCAGAAAAGAGGGAGGGGTGAGAAAGACCAGAATCGCAGAACTGATGGAGAGTCCGCCATCCCCTCGACCTGGCCCGGATGGACGGGAGATGGTCTGCACTGACCTCTTACAAAGTTGTATCTTTTGATCCTCTTCTTTGAGGAAACACTTGGGAAAACCCAGAAAAACTGAAAGAGGAAAATAAACACTCATAGCCCCACTCAGCTGAGGACAACCAACCAACCAACCACTCTAAAAGTTTAGCACATTTTCCTCCGACCTTTTACCGAAGTTAGATAAATGGGCATGTCTGAAATGATTATTGGAAAAGACGAACCTGGATACAGACAACAGAAAAACAAAAGAGAGAACGAAGTGGGATAAAACTGTGGCCGTCTTCTTCATGAAGTTGTACATTCTCCAAACTATTTGGTTTTACTACAGTCTTTTGTCCATGGACTTTCCTGATGAAATATTGTTCGACCGCTTTTTCCTTCCTCAAAAGGCTTCGCGAAATCTTCCTGTAGCTGTCAACAAGTTTAAGTAAAATTGCATATTGTTCTGAAGTCTTCCACCATTTTTGCTATAATATGCCACCGCAGGCATGGTATGAATGCTGTGCTTAGTCGCTCAGTCGTGTCCCACTCTTTGAGACCCCATGGACTTGATACGAATGCTACTGCCCAAAAAAAGAGGAGATACTTGGAACATGGTGAGAAAAATCCCAGCCTGAAGGACTGAAAAGGGGACGATGGCCATTGAAAAATTTGTTCTTGTTGCTTAGTCGCTAAGTCGTGTCCGATTCTCTGCGACCCCACGAACTGTAGCCCGCCAGGCTCCTGTGTCCATTGGATTTCCCAGGCAAGAATACTGCAGTAGGTCGCCACTTCCTTCTTCAGGGGATCTTCCCAACCCGCGTCTCCTGCACCGGCCAAGGATTTCTTTACCACTGATCCTTCATGGAAGCCGCCATTGACAAAATCAGGATCTGTTTGCAACCTTTCAGAGCTGGTCTCTTTGGGAATGACGCCCTCTAGTGTTCTTGCCTGGAGAATCCCAGGGACGGGGGAGCCTGGTGGGCTGCCGTCTATGGGGTCGCACAGAGTCGGACACGACTGAAGCGACTCAGCAGCAGCAGCAGCAGGGGTCAATAGTGATAATGCACCATCGTTTGGTAGCTGCCTCAATTTCGAAGTCGTTCTCAGCTTAAGTATTCCACAAAATATACTTGAAAATTGGTAAAAGACAAAAAAAAATGGTTTGGGCAAGAGTTTCTCTACCCCTTTTTTCAGTGTTCAGATGGCTAGTTTTCTTGTCAATCTGCACACACTTAAGAAGCCCTGTATTCCTCGAAGGGACTAACTGAATAAGCTCAGCAACAGTGGCTGGTAGAGGCGATCAAGTATCTAGTCGCTCTTGAATTGCTGGAACCGAAGAGACAAATTCGAATACGCCAAGGAGCCAGGAATTTGCTGTGGCTCAGTGAAGCAGTCTGCAAGGCCTGCTTTGCCAGAGCGTCTGATTTACAGAGAATCAAGAATTGTACGTGAAAGCGGGATTATGGGAAATCGATGTAGATTATGTGAAATGTCTTTTATTTTCAGTATTGGCAGTTAGTATCGGACCATGCTCCCTCCCTATTCCTTAAAACTGCCTTTGACTTTTGAATTTTATTTCATCAGGTTGTATGACTGCTACTCTTCAATGTTGCTATCATCCACTTCTCTCCCCCATCTCAATTCTCCTCCTCCTATTTCAATTAGATAGCTCCAGTTTACTGTAGTTTTTTTCCAATGCTAATTTCTTCTTAACCCTTGGTGATTTAAAATATATGTAGAATAGATGATGATCTTTCTAGTATTCTGGATTCTCAGTTCCTTGATATGTCTTCTCCATCAGTAATCTTCTCCTTCACGCTGTTTCAGCCACTCAATTCATCCCCTAGAACTTGTCATTATCAGTAACTGCACTGTGTCTGTAAATTCTACTTGAATCTGTTCTCTGATCACATCTATCCTGTAGCACTCTGACCCCGACAATCCCTACCCTCACCAGAATACCAAATCCACTATCTTGCCACCTCTTCTCTGGCCCCACCCTCTTGATGTTCTCACCTTTCTCTTTATCCATAAAGTTCACGCTCAATTATTATAGTCCCTCCCTTGGACATGCTCTCTCTACTCTTGCTCCCCCGTCACTTTGTTGAACTCCCTTGGCAAATCTAGCATCCCTATTGAATCCAATTTTCCAATTTTGGGCTCTACCCATACACCTGAATGTCACATCTGTGCTTTTATTTCATTTACTCTTATAAACTCCTTGGCAACCGGTTTATGCCATCTCTCTTCTCAATCCCATCACCTTCTCTTGCATCCTCATGCTCAACTAATGAGCTTGAGAGCACTGATGCATCAGGAGAAAACTTCCTCATTACCACATACTTACCTACCTACCAGTATCTGTAGCAAAATACACTCCCCTCTCCCCAGCCTTTTTCATGAATTAATTATCTAGGCTCCTAAATTTAATCCCTTCACTTGGGCAATAGATCCTATCTCCTGTCCCATACTCCTAGACATTAAAGACAGCTGTTCTCATGATCTACAAAATCAGCAATTTCTCACTGTTTACTGGATCAGCTCTGCGCTGTGCTTAGTCGCTCAGTGGTGTCCAGCTCTTTGCCACCCCATGGACTGTAGCCCGCCAAGCTCCTCTGTCCGTGGGGGTTCTCCAGGCAAGAATCCTGGAGTGGGTTGCCACGCCCTCCTTCAGAGGATCTTCCCAACCCAGGAATTGAACCCAGATCCCCTGCATTGCAGGTGAATTCTTTACCATCTGAGCCAGCAGGGAAGCCCAAGAATTCTGGCGTGGGTAGCCTATCCTTTCTTCAGGGGATCTTCCCAACCCAGGAATTAAAACAGGGGCTCCTGCATTGCAGGCAGGTTCTTTACCAGCTGAGCTACCAGGGAAGCCCTATCCATTGTATGTATGTACCACAACTTCTTTATCCATTGTATATATGTACCAATTTTTTATCGATTCATCTGTTGATGGACATCTTGGTTGCTTCCTTGTTCTCTTAACTGTTAATGTCAGAGCACCCCAGGGCTCAGTCCATAGTTCTCTCTATTGACACCCACTCCCTTGGTGAGCTCAGCCAATTCAGAGGCTTTAAACACCAACTATCTACCCAGGTCTGCCAAATGTACTTGTTTAGCCTAGATGTCTCTCTTCGACTTCAGACTCAGACTCAGGTCCAAAACTGAACCCTCGATCATGCCTCCTGAACCTACCTTTCGATACTGTTCCTCATCTAGATTACACCATCCTTCCAGTTGCTTGAACCAAAAACTGTAGGGTCATCCTTGGCTCCTCTGTTTCTTCACAGCCCATGTCCAGTCCACCAGCAGATCCTGTTGACACAGTTCAGAGTATATATTTTTTCCACTTTCACAACTGCCACCCTAGTCTGAGCCATCATTATGTCTTGTCCAGATCACTGTAGTTGTCTCTTAACTAAAAGTAGTTTTCACTATCACTTCCTGCAGGCTTTTCTCAACACTGCAGCCAGCCTGATCCTTTTAAATCAAATCTGATCATGTCTCTCCTCTGTTCAGACGCCACCAACGGCTTCTAATTTCAGCCAGAAGAAAAGTCAGATTCTTCCTATGAGCTACATTCCCTCTGCCACTCGCCCTCCACCCTGTTACCCTGTGATCGTGTGTCCTTGTTCATGCTACATGGCCACACTGATTCCTGGCTGGTCCTTGAACACAGCAGGCAGAACCCCCCATTAGAGCCCTTTGTATTTGCTATCCTCTTGCCTGGTATGCACTTCCCGTGTGCCTACAGTCTACCCTGACCTCTGTATTTAAAATTGCTTTGGTCCTTGTACTCAGATTTAGGCTGGCATGTGACTGGAATTGGCAACAATTTATGGCTTGGGGGACCAAAATCTCATTTCAGATTTCTCTCTCTCGACCTCTCTTGATCTGAAATAAGAACAGGTGGTAGCTCTGGCTGTCTCTGGAACCATTTTGTAACCACACAGAGATAGAGTGACATCAGTCCTAGGGATGGTCTGGTGAGAGAATGACCTTAATAAGGTCATTAACCAGCTCATTTGTTCTATGCCTGGAGAATGTCCTGCTCATGGACTTATATGACATAAATTCCCTTATTAGATCACTTTTTACACCAGGGACCTTGTCATTTGCAGCTGAATGCATCCTCATTGATTCACTGCACAGACATTTGGTAATACTCCCTGATTTTGCTGAAGGCCTGTAAAACCTCTAACCTCTATGCAAAACTGGAGCTCAAATGGACATATACAGCTATAGCTGTGGAATGTGAGATGAGCATGAAACTGGATTGCAGAGAGAGACAACTGAGCCCCTGAGAGAAAGTGAATGTTAGTGGAGAATGATTCTGGCAGTGGCGGTGGAAGTAACGTGAAGTCCTAGGCGTGCATGTGAGATCCAGGCAGACCCAGACCCACTGCCAGCACACATGCTTTCGAGTGAAGAGGGTTGTGGTGAAACCTCAGAACTGCCTCACACTGTGACCTAGCCCTTCGCCATAGAATGCTGTCCAACTCCACCCTCTCCCTCAAGTTTTGGACGTTAGAAGAAGAAAGTGTTTCCTCCGCAGCTGGAGGTAAGAGAGTAATGCACTGCAAAGATGAACAAACAGAGATGGTAAGGGAAACCCTGACGGCCAGAGTGACAGCGGCATAGATGCGGGGTGTCATCAGTGGTGAAGTCCCAGTAAGCACAGGCATCAGAGCCTCAGAAATCTGAAAACAAGTGAGAGAGAAAGTGAGTGAGGCGCATAGCAGCACTTCATATGTATGAGACAACTACCTCGGCGACAGCTATCTGCTCAGTATCTCTAGGGCTCAATGTTCAAAGGACACCCAGGCTTGTGGGTTATGGGGGATTTTCTGGTTTCAGAACTTTTAAGACAAAGATCACTCATCTGTCCCATGTTTGAGCTTCATCCCGTCCCTGAGCCTTATCCTAGAGGATCATAGGTGCCCTGGGGTTCAGGAATAGGATACAGATCAGTAATGGGGTGGGAATGTTTGTAGTGCACATTAACTTGATAATTTTTAAAAGCAGAAGTTCATTGGTTTCTTGGGCTTTCATCAAAATGACCTTGTGAAAATAACATCCAATAATTATTCCCCCAGGTTTCTTTTTCTCTCTCTT